ACGCCAAGTTTCGCTGCTACATCACCGGCAAGCCCAAGCCAGAGATCATCTGGCAGAAGGACGGGGAGCCCCTCATCCCTGGCCGCAGGCACCTCATCTACGAGGACCGGGAGGGCTACTTCATCCTCAAGGTGCTGTACTGCAAACCCCAGGACCAGGGGCTGTACGTCTGCGCTGCCTCCAACACTGCCGGCCAGACCCTCAGTGCCGTGCAGCTCCGTGTGAAAGGTGGGAGCGTGCCCCACCACTGCGGGGGGTGGCCGGGTGCTGGGGGGGTCCAGGCCTTTTTGTCTGGCAGGGATGGGTCTGTGCATGTGCCCAACAACCCTTGGGCTCCCTCCTGCCCTGCGCACCCCAGGCTCCTCCGGGTGGGGCTGCAGGCTGGAAGCTGGGGACACTGGGCTCCCCAGGGACCTGTGTGTCCCCCCTGTGCCCCTCTCTCCTTGCAAGCAGAGAGGTGTCTCTGGAGGGCTGCGGGTGTCCAGCCGTGAGTGGGGAGGGGGGGCAGTGCCTTGGTGACAAATTCCCCTGGAAGTGCGGAGCAGCTTTGGCGGGCAGCCCTGCAGGGCATGGATCCAAGTGTCTGCACTGGCAGCAGCCCCGTTCCCCATTGCCACTCTGCCAGCTGGGGAGAGCCCACTGCTGGGGCAACCTGGCACCTGGTGCATCCCCCACCTGCACCCTGCTGCTCCCCTCCACTGAGACACCTGCCATGGTGTGCTGGCATGCACACTCCTGCATCCCCCAAAACTTGCTGATGGATGCTGGGAGCATCACTGGGTCCCCCCCAGCCCATGCTCTGGCTCCCTCCTCTCTGAAAGATGTGCTTCCCGGTGACAGTGCCCATCCCACACAGGCCAAAGAGGAGAGGGGCAGAGAAGGGCCAGGGGCTCGGAATGCCCTGAGGCAGGGCTGTTCCTGTGCCCTGCATCCCCGCAGCACCCGTCTCTCTGGCGGCAGAGCACCGGCTGCGGTTCCAGGTGCAGCTGGCAGACGTGGAGGTGGCGGAGCTGGAGGATGCCGTGCTGGAGTGCCAGGTGCCACTGGAGACCATCCCCACCGCCTGGTACCTGGAGGACAGGGAGCTGCAGCCAAGCCACAAGTATGTGATGGAGGAGCAAGGCGTGCTGCGGCGCCTGACCATCCGCAATGCCCGCACCGACGATGACGGTATCTACCTCTGCCAGATGAAGGACAAGGGGCGCAGCATTGCTGAGGTCTCTGTCCGAGGTGGGCTCAGGTCTCCAGCGGCATGGCTTTGCCTTCCTATCCCCCTCCTTGCCAGGCTTCCCACTCCCCCACCGTTTGGCTGTGGCACTTGCTCCTGCCCCTCCTCAACCCCCTCCTCTGTCCCACCCCAAGGAGCTCCCCCTGCTCCCCAGCATCCCTCTCAGCCCTCATGCATCTCCTCCCACAGGGGTGATCACCAAGCGGCTGCCACGGAAGCTGGATGTGATGGAGGGGGAGAACGCGGTTTTCTGTGTGGAGACGCGGGAGGCAGTGGAGGGGATCTGCTGGAGCCGGGACGGGCTGCAGCTGCAGGAGTCACCCCACACTGTGCTGAAGAGCTTCGGCAGGACACACCTCCTGGTGCTGGTGCATGTCACCCGCCAGGACGCGGGCATCATCGCCTTCACCGTTGGGGAGTCGCAGACGTCCTCCCAGCTCCGGGTCAAGTGTAAGCCCCAGGCTTGGAGGCGCCCCGCGTCCCCCATCCTGACCACTCATGGCAGGTGACATGGGGGAAGAGATGGGATGGGCACCCACTACATGGGTGATGTGATGTTGTGACAGCTTTTTGGGGAAGGGGGCTTTTAGCAGGGCTCCAGGGCCCCAGCCTTGCTGGCACTCACAAACCCCTGTAACCAGCACCATGCTACACAACAGCAAGGCCATCCTCTCCATCTTCTCCATCCTCTCCATCAGAGAGGATTCCCCAACATACAGGCTGTGTAGCCCCGCTCAGCCCTTCTGCCACCTCGCGGGACCCTCGCTGCTGTCCCCAAGCAGGCAACATGGGCTGTGACCTTCAGGTGTGAAGCATGACCCCCCGAGTGCGCCGGTGGCAGCTGAGATGAGCGTGGCGGAGAGCAACGTGGCCCTGCTGATGTGGTGCCCCGCACCCGATGCCCACCTCCGGCCCCCCGGCCGCCACCCGCTGGGGCGGCGG